TCTGCGCACACACCTGGACCGCAGCACATAGAGCCAAGTCAGAGCAGCCCCGGCTGGCAGGGGGCTTGGGGGAGGTCAGCCTGCCACGCTCCAACCGGGCTCATCGTGCTGCGGAAGGGCTGGCTGGGGCATGAGGGCTCTTCAGCACTGGGCTAGCCACCAGGCAGCTCCTGCACTATAAGCACCTTTGTGCCCCAGTCATCCACGTCCATGTCTACACGTGCACCATTGCACATGGAAGAACCTGCAGCAGGGCAGTGCTTGTATTTGCAAGTACTAGCCTGATGCAGAGTTTATTCATTTTGTGTGCCCTAACAGGGGTGCACATGTAGATACTGAAACATTTACTGCAGTTAATTAGTCAACAATGCAGTAAACAGCTGGTGTAGACACACCCAGAGGAAGGAACTGAGCAAAAGGGATAACGGAGTCCTCCTCTTCCTCCACCCCATTTTTCTGAATCATGCCTAACCCAGCCCTTCATTTCCACTGCTCAGCTTTCATTAAAGGTGACAAGCTTCAGAAGTGGTTACTTTTCTTTCAGCAAAAAAAAAAAACAACAACAAAACCCAACAAAAAAAAACAAATGACATCGAAAAATGCTGATTGGACTGAAGCAAGAGAGAGCTTTTGCCCAGCCAAAAAGAAAAATTATTTTTACACCCTTAAATAATGACTATTTTATTTAGCTCCTCAGTATCTGAACAGAAGGATGTGTCTAGTAAGTGCTCAAAATTTAGAGCAATAAGTATCAAATTTAAGGCAGGACAAACTTCTGACCTAAGCTACTAGTCAATATTCCTTTAAGGTAAGTAAGCATAAGTGATTGCTAGCTCAATTTTTCCTTTTATGGACCTTCCGATGTTTTAACAGAACGCGATAAAAAAATATTACAGGATCTAGGCTAAATACTTGTTTTATTATTTTTTAAAAAGCATTGAGTTTAAATTCTAAAAATCATTTTGGAGCATGTATAATCAATATTATTCAGAAAGCGCTGACATGTTACATTATACATCAATACAAATGAAGAAATGCTGATTATTGCTCCCATGCATCCAGCACACCTACCAGATATACCTACTAAACTGTGGCATATACATCACTGCGCATTACAATGTACACAATAAAGAAAAATACTTCCTGTTGAGGAACCCATGTAGCAGCATGATCAACTGGAAAGACTGGTTCAAATGTTAATCAGATTACAAGTGAAAACGGCAAAGGTGGTTTCACGCAAGACCCTATTAGCTCGAGTCACAAAGCTGCACCACTGAGTGCGACCGTTGTCCGTGTACCCGAGTGGAACGGGGTGGCGATGCACACCTGGGCTGACGCCCACCGGCAGAAGCGTGCAGAGCACCTCTCTGTACTATGCCTACCTCAAGACGGGGATTTAGCTCCTCATTTGCATGAACACTAATTTCACTCATCTTAAATTAGAAAATGAGAGCCATTTCACTAAAAGTGAGCTTTACTGCTCACCTGGAAAAGCCAATCAGGAGCTCCAGTCCATTGATTTCTGACAAGACAGCAGACTCAGGCACGCTCAATCCCTTTCCTCTTCTCAGACGGTAACCGTGTCCTTTTATCTTCTAATATAACCCTCGCGGCTGATTAAAGGGGGCAGTGAATTGCTCCCAGCGAAAATACCTCTAGCCAAGGTCAGCAGCCATAATAGTTGGCCTTAAAGAAGGGTTTCTTGGATCTCTGACAACCGCCCCAAACAAAAACTAACCTGACCAGAAACTTGGCCTGCTCGTTTTTACAGCGCTCTCGAAGACTACCAGGCACAGAGAAATGAAAGGGCGACACTTTTACTTGGCAGAAGGCAGGATCCACTGCGACCACAAGTGACGATCCTGGTGCTCCTACCAGAAACAGGTATCCAGGCTGTAGCCGTATGGCACCGTAGTACTACAAGTCCTGACTATCGGAAACAGTAATTCGAGGAAAGCATCTTTTCCCCAAACAGGACACTCCTTTGAAGTCCCTCAATCCGCCCCAAGATGCCCAGGATACGGGAATCTCAGCTCCGCGCTACTCTGCCTTCTCACAGCGCTGCACAAAAGGTGACATCTCCGCTGCCACCGAGCCACTCCGCGTGCTGGACCATTTTTCTCAATTCACCGATTTCTAACACATCCTGTGCACACTGGTCTGCACGCCAACTTAGGGGTTTTAGGTTTGTTCCTCAACTTATTCGCTTGAAACGTTTTTAAAACGAGCGTGAAGTCCACATACCGTGGCCTCTCGGCCCTCCTGCAAACGGGGCGCTGAAAGGATGCTTTAGTCAAACACAAAAATACAAAGTTTGGTAAAAAAAACTAAGCTTAGTAAAACAGGACAGACAGAAATGGTGTCTTTCGGTCTAACAAGTAATTCTGCGCCCTTCCCCTGAACGCTTCTCTGCAGCTCGGGCGTTTCCTTCCCATCGGCACCGCACGCACGGAAAAACTGAAGAGAAGAAGGGGCGAGGAGAAAAAAGGATTTAGGATGTCGGGTTTTCACAGAGCAGCGGTGACCTGGGGAGCGATGTCGGTTTTGAAAACCGCTCCTTTCCAGCCACGCCAGTGACGAGCACTGGTGACGAGCGGCCCGCGTGCGGCGAGCCAGCACGCTCGAGGCGGGACGGCTTTCAGCAGCGCGATGGGGGGCCAGAACCACAGCGCATACCTTGAGTTCAGGTGCAAACCCATTCACGAGCGTCCGGCAGGCGCGACGCAGCGCAACGAGCAGTGCCGCGCGGTGCAGCCAAGCGACCAGGCGCCCCAGCAGCCCCCCCCCTGCCCAGCTGTGAAGTGCGCAGCACTGCACGGGGAGGGAAGGCGCGGGCACTGTCAGCGACAAGGCCGGGGAGCGCCACCGGGCTCGGCCCTGGAGCGTGGACAGCCGGCAATTGCCTGCGTGACAAGGGGGGGAACCCCCAAAACCGCAGCGGGGCCCCCCAGGGAACTCACGGGGGGGACCC